TGCACTGCCACTAGTCCGAGCTCAGCCACCTTCCAGCAGGCCCAGGAGGTCCCTCGATCCTGGGAGAAAGGATCTCGGGACGTCAGGGCTGGGAAAATTGTGTGTGTTCCAAAGCCCGCGTTTTAGGAAACTGGGGCCCAGAGCAAGGCTCGGACTAGCTCCTAAAGAAGTCCAGACCGAGGCCCCCTGGGGGTCTTTGCTTAGTTACCAGGCGGCACAGGAGCAGCGGCACGGTGACCAACCTGTGGAAGGTCTGGTGCCCCTGCTCTTTCCCACCAGAGGGACCTACTTTTCTTGTTCCTCAAAACAACAAAACCACTTCCTGAAAAGTGCTTCAGGGTGAGGGAGGTGCCTGGGAGGTGGAATGCACTGTAGGGCTGAGACCGCTGATCTGCAGTCACCTGGGGGCAGTGGGCTGCAGGCTCCCTGCTGGGAAGGGTCACACATCTTCCGGAGGGAGGCCTCTCTGGGACTGAAAACAGAGAGCTGCTTTCTTGGGGAGAGCAAAATAAGCAATCATCTTGGCTTCATTTATCATCCAGGTGCCTCCGCAGGAGAGGAGTGACACCCAGGCCTTTCTGGTTTATTTGTTTTGTTTTCTGGAATTTGTGATCATCTATTTTGTTAAGTCTCCACACCAGGCTAGAATCATGAGCTCCTGGAGAGTCGGGCCTGGGTCTGGCCCGAGACCCCCGTGGGCCGAGCACAGCGGCGCTGCGTAAACGTGTGTGGAACAAACCACGCTGTCTGTCGGTGTTCGTGGCTCCTCCGCTGAAGACTGCACAACCCCGAAGGTGCGCAGCAACTCAGAGAAGAATTCAGAGATCAAAGCACAAAGGAATCAGACAGGAAAAACACCCAGCAGATAGAATCGATAAACGTTTGCTTCTTTGCAAGTACCTCTGACACAGAGAAATCTTAGGCAAGTTTTGATCAAGAGGAGAAAGTAGTGATAAGCAAGACCAGGCATGAAAAAAAAAAGGGGGGATCAAGTGACAACGGGGAGATTTAAGAGAGCAGAACACTGCACACAACTTCATGGCAACAAAGTCGCAGTCGGGTAGAGCAGGTGATCTAGGCAAGGACCGAGTCCCTTCACAACTGTTATCTCCAGAGAGCCTCCCGCAGCCCCACACCGTGGCGGTGCTCTCAGATGCTTTCTAGAAGAAAGGAGGAGAGATGCAGAGGTGGGCGCCTGGCACAGCCCTAACCATCCACGCTGCTTTGCCTCAAAGTCACGGCCAGGGGAGCACACTGAGATCCGCCACGGGAAACCGCTCCACGCGTGCACTGCTAGCCGTCGGCTCAAGCCCGCTCGCTGGACAGCCAGCCTTATTTATTTTTCCACTTGAAATGCCATGAGGGGTTCCGCTTTATTTTTATTTCAAAAGCAGCACCATAAAAAATCCTTGATGATTAGAGCTCCAGCTGTCCTCCGCTGTTTGTCGAGGATCAGTTACTCCAGTCTCCTATGGAGGGAAACAGTTTCGGGCGGGAAGCCACAGGCGCTGAGAAACGCAAACGTCTCATCTCGGAAAACTTCCAGGCTCCCTCCTGTTCACGGCCTGCTCCGGCCCCCGAGCCCCCTCCCCCAAAACCCACCATCTGCTCTCCAGAGAACAGATCAAATTCTCGGGCTAAGGTACTCTGGCGCCAAGGACTCAGCCCCTCCGTGCTTGCCTCTGGCCTCCTCCAACTCAGAAACCCAACACCACCACTCAAATGGACTGCAGCCACACAAAGCCACAAAGTAAAGTTTATAAAGCTTTATTAAACATTTCAAACAGCTGTGCAACGAACACACCAGAAATAAAAGCTCCAGAACAGCAGTCCAAATGTTTCCCAAGTGTGGTCTTGCAGTCCCGTTCCCTAGAGGGACTGCCTCCAGTTCTGTCCACTGCCTGGCCCGCCTCCCTCCCTCCTCGGGCGAAGAGAGACGGACGGCTCCCAGCAGAAGGACGACCATGCTGAGCCCCAGTGGGCAGCGGCCAGAAGAAAAGTCCCATGGGCCAACACTTGTTATGGAAGCGCAGAAAAAGAAAGCAGCAAGTGACAGTCACAAAGTCTTCCTGTGGATTCTTCATCATGCACAGTCCCCACGCGCAGGGATGAAGAGGCTCCTGGCCTGGAGGACGACGGCCACGGCTCCCCTGCGTCTTGTCTGAACACCTCGGAGTCCGGCGTGCTGGTCACTCGGCAATCCCCATGCTAAAGAAATACTGCAGCGGCACTAATACAGCTAGCTACTGCTAAACCTCGAAATCAGAACACGTTCGGTAAAGCTTCTTTAAAAGGAAGTACACGTGCACCTGTATGCATACGTCCACACGCGTGTGCGCATGTGCACACACACACACACACACTCACTCACTCACTCACGGCACACCAAGAAATATCCAAACACCTATCCAGGGGATGGTGTGGCTGCTATCAAACACACACGTGCTCGCTCATTCACTCGCTGGGGACTGCTAGATCTACACGAACACGCCATATCTCAGTCCCGCGGAGCATGCATGGGACACACGATGAGTGGGGCCCCCCCTCCTGGGGATGGCTGAGAAAGGCAGGAGGCAGGGCAAGGGGGAAGGGAGGCTGGGCGGGAAAGCATGAGCCCAGACACCAGGTGAAGAGCAACATCTCTCTGCTGCTGCTTCCTTAAAAATGAAGTGGGGGAAAAATACTGGAGACTTCGGGACACAGTCAAGACATGTTTCTGTCTAGCCTGCCGAACAGGGAAAGGGGGATGGAAAAGCGAGGCTCTCGGGCGTCAGCAATCTCTTCAAGTTCGAGATAAGTGCAAAGACGAGCCCTGTCATGGACAGGTGCTCCCCCAAAAAGGAGAGGGGCAGAGAACTAAAGGGAAGCCAGGAGAGGGAGTGCAGGGTCACAGTAACACCTTGGGAAGGAAGGAGACCCTGACAGGTGGGGTTGGACGGGGGGCGTCACGGGGAGGGGACGGTGAGTCTGGCATTTAATCTGCCCAGGTCGTGCTGGGGCGGTTGACCAGGATGGGCACAGATTCCTCGCAGTAATGAGGCAAGGGGGGTGGCCATCCCGCCAGCTGGGACCAAGGTGGGGACAGAACACACACAAACACAAGACCACCCACAACTATAGGACTCTACAATAAAAGCACCGGGCAGTGCCATTATTCACATTATAAGGATAAAACATCACAGGCCAACAAGGCGCCGTCAGGAATGTAGCACCCGCGGGGCTGCGGGATTTGAAACTCCAATGCTTTATGACCTATGTCAATGCCTCCCCTCCCGTCTTCTGCTTCCTCGGAAAGCTAACAGGGCGGCTGTTAGGTGCCCACCACGCCGGGGTCGTGTGCCGATTCCGGAAGCGGGGAATCGGAGCAGTGGTACAGGAAACAGTTTCCCCAGCAGCTATAGCAGATGAGGAACAGGGCTGCTAGGAAGACCAAGGCACAAATCGTGCAAGGCTTCCGCTCCAGGAGGAAGCTGAGCAGGTAGAAGCCCATGAACATGGAGTGGCTAAACCACAGGGCGGGGTTGAGGGGCTTGGGGATGAGGAGGACGGGCAGCAGCCACTGGAGGCAATACATGATCTCTGCTGGGCAGGACCTCGCCAAGGCTGCCGGGCACCGCTGCAGGAACCGACCCAATGGGAGTCAGCGGGCGCAGGCGGCTGCCCTCCGCTTTCTTCAACCCTCACTCTCCAGGAGCTGAGCCGCTGTGCTCTCTGGCTGTCAGCCTGGGATCACCAAGGCAGCAGGGATCCTGAAGAGAAAAGTCAACACAACAGACAGACAAAGGACAGACAGACACACACACACAAACAAAAAAAAAAAAAAAAAAACAAAACACAAAACAGAAACAAAAAACAGGAACAGAATGTATACTTATTTGGGAAAATGGATCATGGTTAACAACAGCAAATGTGAGTCCCTTTCCTCCCTGCCCACCCGTGGAGGTTCTATTCCTCTCCAAGTCACCAACTCGGGAAGTCTCCTGGGTGCCTTCCTTGGGCCTCTCCTGGGGGCTCCCGAGAGGGCTCTGTGGCACGGTCTGCACAGTGCACTGGCTTCGCCTGGGCCCTGCCCAGCAGAGATCATGTATCGCCTCCTGGGGCTGCGGCCCGTCCTCGGGGGGCCCAGACCTCTCAATCCCGCCCTGCGGTTGCCACAGGACAGCCATGGGCTCCGTGCTGTGCCCGTGCCAGGCGCGACAGGCTTTTGTACCGAGCATCTCTCCCGCGGTAGGCAAGGAGTGGCGAGCTGAAGCACTGAGTGGTGCACTGTGGGCTGGAGACCGCGGGCAATGAACGCATCCTCCCGAGCGCGGGGAGGTCGCCGCCACGGCAACAGCGCAGCCCCAAGAATTTTAGCACAGCAGCAGACTGGGCCAAGCTTGCCTTTTTCAAATAGCCCAGCACCGTTTTGCCAAAACCAGCCAACTTCTTCGAAAGTCAATGTAGGGGGAAAAAAATCACTGTGCTACTTCATCCAAGCTGAACTAGCTTGGACCATTACACCTCCATCTGCTGCTGGCCCTTTACAGAAACTGACCTCTATGAGCTTTTAATCAAAATTAATTTTCTATCCACACAGGGGCAAATGCCAGTTGGCTCCTGTGCCAGGCGACTTGTTGGAGAGAGGTGCTTTGTGAAAGCGCTGCGGCCGGGCTCATAGCCGCCTTTCGCCTTTTATTCTTCCCACCCGCAAAACCCGCGCTCTGAAACGGACCGCCGGACGGGCGTCGTGCGCCACCCGCCTCCCCGGGAACCCAGGCTGCAGTAGCCACGACCCTCTGCTGGTAGTAGCGGAACTCCGCTCAGCGCTCCAGCCACCACCTAACGCGACGGGTGCAAAGAACCGCGCCGGCGAGGCAGACCTGCCAGGGTCCGGGAGTGGGGGAGGGGAGGGAAGGCAGAGGTTGAAAGGACCTGGCCAGGGACGTCTCCCGGAGCGCAGCCAGACCACTTCCTGGGAGACCTCATTCCTTGGCTGCCCCACCCCTCCCGCGGGCTCCCTACAGAGTCAGCGCAGCTACCAAAGCTCCTGCTCTCGCCGCTCCCTTGAATCGGGAAAGGGATACACGCTCGGGGACCCTTGGGCAGCAGAGAACTGGGCTTACCACTCACGGAATATTGGGAAAAGAGGGTTGAGCGCGGTCTCGGGCAGATGACCCCTCCCTAACTCGGGTTTTCCATCCAGGCCTGAGGCGCTTTCTGCAGCGCCACTGGGCTGCGCTCGAACCTTTCGGCCAGGGTTCAGAAAGAGGGGCACCACTCTAAGAGTCTCTCCCTACCCTCGCCCCTTGCTCTACCCAGGACCGTGGCACCCCTCCCTCCATTTTACACCAAAATTCAAAAGCGGGCAAGGCGGAATCTTCTGGAAGGGGGCGTAAATGGAACTCAAGAGGCGGGGGTCGGTGTGGAAAGAGCAGATGGATTATTTTTTTTTCTCTCCTGGCGAATGAGCGCCCCGGGCTACCCCTCCTCATGAAACCCCCGCCTCAAGCGCGCATGCGTACTTAGGCGGCGGGCGGGTACTTAAGGCACGGCCACCGCGGCTGCGGCAGTGCGCCCAACAGCGGACTCCGAGATCAGCGGACCTCGGCGAACCCTCGCTCTCAACCAACCGCTCTCCACTCTCGAAACCATGGCGGCAGTGGCGGCAGCTTCGGCCGAACTGCTCATCATCGGCTGGTACATCTTCCGCGTGCTGCTGCAGGTAAGTGTGTCGCGACTCCCGGTGGGGACCTGCTCCCCATGCGCGCACCCTACTCCCGCAAACCCGCGTCGCGATTGCCGCCTTCCCAGCCCGTCCTACCCCGATTGCCGCGATCCCTGCCCAATTGCCGCTGCCGGCATCGCGTGTCCCCCGCCCGTTCCCTGCGCCCTCCTCCTCGCGCAGACCCTCCCTAGTGCGCCCGCGCCAGGCCGGGAACAAAGACTCGGGCGCGGCGGTCGCCTGCCGCGGACGATCGCCGAGGCTTTTAGCTACCTACGCGGTAAGAAAAACCCGCTATGCCCAGACTCGACCCCAGGAGGGAGGCGGGGGCACTTCTGTACTGTGAGACTTTACAGCTCTCATAAAGAAAATTTTCCATCTTAAAAATTGCGCACTGCGGGGAAATTTAAAAAAAAAATTGTGTGTGTGTGTAGTGCTTGCAGAAGTGGGACGCAAAACAAGTTGGAAAAAGGTACTTTTTAGGAAAAAATACTTCATAAAAAATCCCCAATAAATTAGAGGAAAAGTAATTCACAGGGAAAAAAGGAGAGGAGGAAAACGCGCATTGCAGGAAAAATAAATCAGACAAGAGCACGTGGCACAAAACAAATGCATTAGATAAAAAGCGCACTGCAGAAAAATTAAGACAAAGGAGCTAACAGGTAAAAATAAGTCGGACAGAAATGCTTTATAGAAAACACAGGAAAAAGCTCTTCGCAGGAAAAATGAAAGGGGGGAAAGGCGCTTCCAGAAGAGGGCAAAATGCTTTATAAAGACAAAAATCACGGAGATGAAAGTGCTCTGTATAAAACAAAATTCGGAAGAAAGCACTTTGCCCATAAAATCATGTACCCTAAAGGCTCCCTTTGCAGGAAGAATTCCCTGCTAAAGGGATCCTTTGCCAAAGGAATCGCATATTTCCTTTAAGGTGTTCCTGGAATGCTGCATTTACTGGGTAGGATTCGCTTTTCGAAATCCTCCAGGGACACAGCCCATTGCGAGAAGTGAGGTATACCTAAGTTGTGGGTCCAATCAGCTTGCCGCCATGCAGCTCTCAGCACAGTTGGAAAAGCTCCAGCTGCCCTGACTCGTGGACAAGCTGTGCCCTGCGCCCGCCTCTCTGGCCCGCGGCCGGACAGGCGGGCGGGGCAGGGGGCGGGGCGGGGGTGGGCACGCAGCACGGCAGGCGGGCTGCGGGCGCTCTCCGCTAAGGGCGGGTCCTGGGTGTCTCTCCGCAGGTGCTCAGGTACTCCCTGCAGAAGCTGGCGTACACGGTGTCGCGGACCGGGCGGCAGGTGCTGGGGGAGCGCAGGCAGAGAGCCCCCAACTGAGGCCCCAACTCCCAGCCCTGGGCGGCCGCGTCATCAGGTGCTCCTGTCCATCTCAGCCAGCATGGGAGCCAGTGCCGCGCAGGAATGGGGGGTCCCCCGTGCTCCCTCGCCAGAGGAGCACTTGCCAAGGTCAGTGAGGGGCCGGTAGGTCCTCCGGAGAAGCAGCACCGACCATGATGACCAGATCCCTTTCCCCTGTGCACCGGTCCCACTGTGGGGGCAGGGGCGGGGGCAGGGGGGTGGGGGGAGCAGACCCCTGAGATCTGGGCCTAGGCATCACATTCTGATCTGGACCAAGTCAGGACAGCGCCATCCCAGCCCACAGCCAAGGCCATGCCAGCAGACCCCACCACGGAGATCCAAGCACCACACCAGCCAGCAGAATGTGCCTCCGGACATCAGCAGCTGAAGCCCAGAATCTCGGGGCAGCAGAGAAGGCGCCAGATTGCGAGCCCGAGTGCCGGGACTGGAGGGCGGGGGGAGATGGTTAGGAACCAGTGGGAACCAGTGAGGGCCTTCTCGCCGGCCCCTGCTAGGGCACGTGCATTCCAGCCTTGCTGCCTTTTGCTCTCTCCACTCCCCTTTCCCTCACTGCCTCCAGTGCTCACCCCGCACCCCCCCCCCCCCAAATGTGCCACTTGATTTGGACCTGTTCAACCAGTAAACGAATCCCGCCTTTAAAAATACCTTCTCTGAGCTGCCCCTCACTGATCTTGCTTTTCCCTGGTCTCACGCAGTTGTGGTCAATATTGTGGTATTCGCTAATTGTACTGATTGTTTAAGTGTGCGTTAGTTGTGTCTCCCCAGCTAGATTGTAAGCTCCTGGAGGACAGGGACCACCTCTACAAAAAATAAAAACCAGTCCCTCCCCTGTCCCGCACAGTGTCCCAGGACCCTGCGGGGCGGTGGAGGCACACCAAAAACCTGTCTCTTGTGGTTTCTTCTGCGGCCTCTTCTAAGACCGGGCTGGTGTGTCTATTGTGGAGGGGCATACTGGTGGGGGCAGGACTGGGGATAAACTGGGGCTCTCACATACCCAGCCCCATCTCAGGTGTCCTCACATAAAACACTGTTTCCCCCTCCCCAAAGAAAGCTGGACACCTCCACCTGTGGTCCCAGAATAAGGGCCACTTCCCCTCCTCGGAGAGTGGGGGTGTGTCCCGGGCTAAAGGGCCACAGCAGGTCATTGCTTTGATCAAGATGGGAGGAAAAGAAGTGGCAGCAGCCCTCAAAATGGGGCACTGAGGATCAAGGGAGGCCTCAGAGCACAAGGCCTCGCTCCAGGCCTCATCCTGCAGCCCTCAAGGAAAGGAGCACTGGGCAGGGTGGACACCGGCCTGGACAAGCCTGGGGCAAGAGGTGGCGCCTCCTCTACCCAATTCAATGTCCCAGGCCCCCAACCCCCATCAAAGCACTACAACGGCACCCCGCCTGGCCTGGCTGCTCTCCAGGGCCTCCCTCACCCTGTCCCAGAAACCTCTTGGCCATTCGCTCTCCCCATCGCTAGGCTCCCTGCCTTCTCAGCACCAGCCTCTCTATCCTCAGAGTGCTTACCAGGTCTCTGCACCCTGCTCCAGCCATCACAGCGGGGTGGGCGGGTGGGCTGGCCTTCTGTGCCCCCACTTCTCCATCTCCCACTCCTCAGTGAACCAGGGATCCTTTCACATGGGGTCAGCTGACTGCTTCACCAAATGGCCCTACCGCCTGTTCAGGCTCATCTCTGTTTTTTTTTGTGTCCCTGTCACTACGCACCTGTTCCTGGGTCAACACCAAGGAAGGGAGTTGGAGGCCATAAATCTTTCTTCCTGCCAGTTCCTCAAATCCCTTAGTCACAGCTGTCATGAAGGTTCTGGAGCATGAAGCACCTCACCCCCTTTGAGCCGGCTCGTCCCTCCCTTCCCTGTCTCTCAGCCCCATCACCAGCACCATGAAGGCACCTCCACCGGCACTCACATGAGAATGGTGGGGCGCAGATCTGCCCAGGGGACTAGGTGCAGTCACCTCCTACCCTGTACCTGCCTTCCCCTCTGCAAGCCGGCCTCTAAGAGCCTGGTGAAGCCCAGCATACCAAACCTTCTGCCATCAGCATGCCCACCAGCTGGGACGTGCAATCTGACACTCCATCTTCAAGATGGCGAAAGAGGCTCTCACAGCCTAAAGGTGAGGCAGGGCTCCTCCCGCCCCAGGTCACTCACCCAGTCCCGCCACAGCCTGCAGAAGCTTGTATTCCGACAGGCCTCAAGACTGGGAGTTTCTGTGCCTTTCCACACTCAACTCACGGAGCCATGAACACATTTCAACCTGTGTTTGCAGTGAGGGCTGCCCTTTGGAGCCTTGGAGGGGCGTGCCCGCTGCCCTACTGCCTGAGACGCTGTGACCTCAGTCCAGATTACAAGCGAGCCAAGTTCAAGGAAGGAGGCCAGGTAGCATGGGAGGATGTGGCTGTTCTGGACACAGGACGGCCCCCACCCTCCTCAGAGGGCAGGAGGCAGCTGGTGGCCCGGGACTTCCCAGGTGGTCTGGCAAGGCCCTTTCCTGCACCCATCCACCAGCAGGGCTCTGTGACGTCACATGACACACTCCTGGGGAGGGGCAGCATGGGGGGCGTCAATGTGTAATGTCAATTCCCCACTTTTGTCCCCCCCGAAGACAGAAGGAAGGTGTGCTTTTTCCATTCCCACGCAAAGCCTAGAAGTCTCGTCTTGTTCATAAACTTCTCCACAAGCTATACCGTGAAAACATTTTATTCTGACAGAAAGCAACGGGAGGAGTTCCAAACGACTAGCGTTTTCTTGCAAAGCCCGTAGTCCTCGGAGCTTTTCCCTAACTGTCACCACCACCATGCCCACAAGGCCAAGGCCAGAAGAGGCAAGTAGTGAGGGACTAGCAGTGGGGGTGGCTGGTGGGGGTGGGGGCTCCAGCAGGCAGGGTCATGGGACGAAGCCTGAGATGACTGTTAGCTTCAGAAGCTCACCGGCTGAAGCGGAGGCCCGGAGGGTGTGTGCAGCGGCCCTCAGTTAAGGACCCGGGCTGTGACTGAGGAAGGCTGGCTGTTCTGGGGCAGGGCAGAGGCCAAGTTTCTGGAGCTTCAACTGGGTGTCAGCGGCAGCTTATTACGTGGGTTGGACGGGGGAGCAGGTTTGCTGAGCCATTTACTACATACGTATTTCCAAACTTGGCCCGCCTCAGGAGCCAAAGGGAGATTCGGATTTTGCAGTCAACCATCCCCGAGAGACTGACACACACACACATCTACTAAGTCTCTTCTCCCCTGCGCCCTCCGACTTCCTCTGTGCACCCCAGAGACGTGCTGTCACCGTCTTCTCCGGGAACGTGCCCTTCATCCTCCCTCCCTGCCCTCCCACGGGGCCCAAACCCCGACAGGATCGGGATTCCTGAGAGTCCCCAGCTGCAAGTCAGAGGCGCGCAACACATGGTCCTCAGTCCATTGCACAGTACCCGGCTTAAAATGGAAATGTGTGTGTTCCAAAGATAGCAGAACAACACACACAGACAGCCTAGCCCAGATTCCTCTTGGAGACGAATTCCAGATAAAAGGTTAAACTGTTTTTGGCAGCGACTCTGAGATCAATTTTAGATACGGAATTCACTCGGTCAATTCCACTGGAAGGCTGGTTGCTTTCCAGCGCCTGAGCCTTTTAACAGATTTGCTTGACATTCATTAGTCTCTGGTTTAAGGCAAACCAACCAGATGGAACACTTGGCATTAGCACGCTAGCTGGAACTTTTCTAGGTAGGCGGGGTGGGGTGGGGTCCCTGCTTTGGGGGTGCTGTCCAGAAGGCTGGCGGGGTGGCTGGACCGTGTCAACGCACCAGAAAGGGGTGAAAGGCTGTTTATTTCCTAGGCCAGACCCCAATCCCCCAACACTTAGGGTTGAAAAGAGACAAGGCAGCCAGGGAGGAAAGAGCGGAGGGAAGCGCACCCGCCCCCATCCCCCATTCTTCCTTTCCAGGCCTTCACCGCCAGGCATTCCGTTCCTCCAGTTCCCCTGGCGGCCACTCCCCTACGGACCGGGGAGAGGGAACGGATGCGTAGACTTGGTGTCAAGTTCGGAGCGGGAAGCACCGGCCACCGAGCCCAAAGCCAGGTTATCACTCCAGACGCCGAAGCGGGGGGGCCCGGGGCGGGAGACCCCTTTCCCCCTTCTCTCCCCACGCCCCTTCTCATTAAAAAAAAAAAAAAAAAAAAAAAAAGGAAGTGAAGTGGAGGGAAACAATGACGGGCGTCTCACAAGCTCGGGCCCCTGCCGCGGGACCCCGGACGGAAGAGGTGGTGGTCGCGCTCCGCAGCCCCGCGCCCCTCCTGCTTTGCCACATCCCGGAAGGGCGCTGACCTTGGGAGGTTGGAGCCGAGAACCAGGAGCCCGGTGACCCACCCTCGGGCCGGGAGGGGATCCCTAAGGCCCAGGCTGGGGCCAAGCAGGGCAATCACCTGACGCCGGACAGGGGTGGTCCCCCACCCCCGGGTGCGGGCAGGAAAACCCCAGTTAAGGACCCAGCGACGCCTAAGGTGACCCCGAAGGGACAACATGGCGGCGCGGCCGCCTGGAGGGCCTCTTATCCCGCCCCCGGGAGGCTGACGCCACGGTACCTGCGAGCCCTGCCATGGCGTCGCCGCCACTGTGTCGGTCGCCGCCGCAGCCTCCCTCCACCTCCGCTCGCCGCCGACGCCGCAGGAAGCTGGGGAGACGCCCCCTTGGTCTTCTAGTCGAGCCGGCTGAAGACCCGGCTTGGGCCCGGGCTGCCCACAGCAGACGCCTGATCATACGGCCAAAATTGGGGGGGTCATCTCGCCAGTTATCTCCAAATAGTCTCCACATACGACCCTTGGGAAACTCTGTTCGTACTTTGGAGCAATTCTGGGTGGATCTAAGGCTTCCAGCGGGAGAAATTTTTAATCAGGCGCAGCCTGGGCAACCCCGAACCCGGCCCTCCCACGGTCCCCTCATGCATATGCAGCAGATTGTGATCTGTACTCATTGAGAGCCTGGCGGCGTAACACAGACCTGGTTCGCGAGGCCGGGGTGCGTGATCTCTGCTCTGGGAAAACCTCTTGGGTCAGAGTCCGTCCCCTCCCCGCTCTTTCACCAGCAGCAAGGTCCGGCCCCAGGACTTGGGACCACAGGACCTGACTTCTTCCCTTGCCTTGTATCTCGGGAGAGACAGCTGCTGGCGCACCCCGACTCTCTCAGCTCCTTGCTGTCTGATAAAATGCCCACCTCGGGGTCCTTAGGGGGCCTTGAATAGGCTAGGATCAAGCACGTGCCTGGAGCGCTGTGTCCGGCACAATGCTAAAGGCAGGGTCCCACCCTGACCTCAAGGCGCTGGAGGTGTTATGTTGGGAAAGACAGGCGTCGAATAGTCACTATGTATGAATTCTTTAAATAAAATCAACACGTAGCTAAAATCAGCCAGTGCTGCGAGGGGGAAGAGAGATTGGTGAGAGAACCGGAAAGGGCTCTAATGTGGGCGAGGGGTTCGGGAGCACCTCCTTGGGGAGCCGGCATTTAGCTAGGAGCCTGAGGAGCTGCAAAGGGCCAGAGTCGGGGGCAAATGTTCAAGGCAGAGCAAACGATTTGTCCCCCACTTGGAGGTGGTAAGGAGGCGAGGACTGGGCAGGTGGCACTGCACAGTGAACTTGGCTCTTGGGAGGAAAGGGGGGGGGGGGGCTGTGGTCATCTGTGGTCGGGAAATGATACCACCTTTGGGTTTCGGAAAGGCCACTCTGGCTGCACTTGGGAGCAGGTGTGGGGAGACCCGTTAGGAGGCTACTACAACTTCCCAGGCTCCAAGGAAGGTGACTGAGTCAGGGAGGCAGAGAAGGGAAGAGTGTGAGGTTGGAGGTGACACCTGGGATTCAGCCGTGAGCAGGTGAAGAGGTGAAAGAGCAGCCCTTGACCCACGTG